TTTCCCCATTTCTCTCCCCATTTTTCCCATTCTCCCCATGTCTTTTTTCCTGTTTTCCCCTCAATTTTCCCCATTTCTCTCCCCATTTTTCCCATGTATTTTTTCCTGCTCTCCCCTCAATTTTCCCCATTTTCCTCCCCATTTTTCCCATTCTCCCCATATATTTTTTCCTGTTTTTCCCTCAATTTTCCCCATTTCTCTCCCCATTTTTCCCATTCTCCCCATGTATTTTTTCCTGTTTTCCTCTCAATTTTCCCCATTTCTCTCCCCATTCTCCCCATGTCTTTTTTCCTGTTTTCCCCTCAATTTTCCCCATTTCTCTCCCCATTCTCCCCATGTCTTTTTCCCTGTTTTCCCCTCAATTTTCCCCATTTTTCCCATTCTCCCCATGTCTTTTTCCCTGTTTTCCCCTCAATTCTCCCCATTTCTCCCTTTTTCCTCCCATTTTTTCCTCCCAAATTCCCCCTCCCCACCCCAATATTCCCCACTTCCACCCCGATTTTTCCCCGTTTTTATCCCGTTTTTTTTTTTTTCCCAGCCCATTCCGTGCTCCCGCGCCGTCTCCGCTCCTTCCCGGCCGTGTACCTGAGCCTGGCTCTGACCTCGCTGCTGCTGCTCCTCCTCAGCTCCCTGGCCCTGGCCAGAGGTGGGACACGCCCACAGCTCCCAAAAATTCCCAAAATTCCCACAAATCCTGGCAATTCATCCGGATTTCACCTCCTTCTTGTCCCCGCTCCCTCGAGCCCCAACGTTCCCAGCAACGTTCCCTCGATTCCCTCGTCCCTGAATTCGCTGATTCCTGGGATTCCCAACGTTCCCCAAAATTCCCCTGGAATTCCCAATGAAATTCCTGATGTTGGAACTCCCAAATCCCACAATTCCTCCTCATTCCCCAAAATCCTGAATACCTTGAATTCCAAAAATTCCCGAATTCCCCAAAAATTCCTCCATTCCCAAAGTTCCCAAATTCCCTGAATCCCCCCCAAATTCCCTCATTCCCAAATCCCTG